AAAAAAAAAAAAAAAAAGAAAAAAAAAATGCACAGAAGATAAATTATTTTGAGCTTTAGAAGAGGAAACGCCATTTTAAAATTTGAATAAATGTGTGGGCTTTGAGTTGTAGGGTTTTAGATGGAAAATGTTTCTTTTGTAACTGAACCGTTACATATATATAGGAATATATTCAATTTACGGCTTTATTGCGTTTATACGCTGCGCATAATACGCTGATGCATAAAACACTAGGTGCCGTAGTCAATTGTTTGCCACGAGAATGCGCTCAAATCCTTATTTTATAAATGGAGATGTAAAAAATTTGTACTGCATGTAACATTATCGCAAAAAAAAAAAAAAAAAGTTTAATTCTAACTTATGAATGGATTGTGTATGGAGTATTTTTATACGTATGTAAAGGGGAAAAGTTATATGTTAGTGTCACATAATTTTCACGTATGCTTTCTGCCTCAAAACGAGTAAGAGAAGAAAAAAGAAGAAAAAACGGAAATGCAAAGTAACATGCTTAGAATGAAAAACCCCTTGAAAAAAAAAAAAAAAAAAAAAAAAAAAACGGGGTTACGAAGTAACTTAAGCGTAGTAACACATTATGGCACTTAATGAAGGAACGCGGATCTAGTGTTATAATGTGCTACTCCCATTCATGTGCCGCCCATCCTCCTGTTGCATATTCTGTAATGAATTATGTACATAATAACGCGTGCTCGTGCAAACTGCGTTCGACGTCGCTTTCGTCGATTTACCGTCACGAGGGTTAGTATCCACAACGCGCGCATCCGCCGTGTCGTCGTCGTTACTACAATCTTCGTTGATCCCGCCGTCTTCGTGTTCTCCGGTTTCGTTCCTACCGGTGGTTTCCCCGCGGCCGCATTTGGTTTCGCTGCTACTGGTTTGGCAGCGGTGTTTGTTCCGTTGCCGGGTGCTGGTGGTGCTGGTTTGGCTGGTGATGGTGGTTGCCCATCGGCGGGTTTGGCCGGGGCGGGTTTGCTAACGGTAGTCGATGCATCCCCAGGACCTGTTCCTGCCCGTCCTGGTGTACTAGGATGCGCACCTCTACTTATTCCCCCTGGTCCTCCTCCTCTTCCCGTTCCTACTCCCACAGATCCACCCCGTCCACCTCTTCCACCAAATCCTGCCCCTCCTCCTCCCCTGCCACCTCTAGGTGCCGAGCCCCGTGTGCGTGCCCCCCCTCTCACAGTGGTCGTTGTTGTCCTGTTCACTGTGTTCTGCATTTCCTGGACCTTCTCCTTTACCTTCTTCTGTATGTCACATTTGCCCTGGGATCCCCCTGGTTTCCGTATGTTCTGGAACAACTTCATCACGGGGCTGTTGGGAGTGGCCTCAATCCATTCGATTATTAGCTGCGTATCCCCCGTCTGTTGTATCACTGCGTGCTCCGCATTTTCCTTACATTCCCTGTCACTCTTGCTTTTATCGCCTTTATCAGCTTGCTCCGTATTGTCCCATGCACATCTCCTTGATCCACATCGCCCACTGCTACCTCTTCGCGTTACCACAGTTGCATTTAACTCATCTAATCGATTTTTTATTCCTTGTCCAATACCCCTGGATTGAAATATTATTGTTGCAAAATCCCTTTTCTCACATATACCATGTTTAACCGGGGTCCCCTGAAGTGTCTCCTGTTTTAACTGTTCCGAAACCTCGTGCATTACCTCTAAATGAGCATTATTCCTCCCATATAGTCTTAATAAAACCTCACCCGCTACTACACATGTTAAATATTCTTTAAACTGTTCTGCGGTTTTTTCCTTCACTGTTCTTTTACCCCACGTATATTGTTGCCTGTCATAGTCATATCCTTTCATATATAGCATTAAACTTACAATTTCCGTACACCTTCTGAAGCATGTTGCCGTCTCCGATGTGTTATACATACTTCCACAGGCACCAGCGACCCATCCGGCACTGTAGCCAAGTATGCGGGTTAACTCATGCAGTATATCGTCAACCTCCTTGAGCATTGTTTTCTGTAGATGGAATAATCCATATATGCATATATATTGCCCAGTTCCTCCTCAGTCTACATTCTACTATATGCACCTATACTTCCCCATGGTTATGTTCACTCTGCATACAGTCCTTCTTTATCCCCCAAATACCGTACTGACCTCTATCATATGCGTACGAATAGTATATGCACGTATACAGGTTTCATTTGCCTATATATATATATACTTGCTGCATAAAATACAACATTCCTACTTCTCCTTGAATTCCTGTATAGTTGAACTTACCCAATACCTCTGCCCGTGCCATATGTTGTTCTTCCGTAGAAAATCACCGCATGCCGCAATAAAATTTCTTATGTCTGCGTCATGACTCATGGCTACATGAAAGACTTTATTCCCGTCTTAAAAAAAAAAGTACGACTACTACTACTAGTACTACTACTACTACTACACACCGCGCATTAACCACAACAACAACAACAAAAAATATACACACACCCCGTCTCCGGGTCCCGCCCCTCCGTCAACGCTGTCTCCGTCACCCCGTCTCCGTCAACGCCTCTCCGTCACCCCGTCTCCGTCAACGCCTCTCCGTCACCCCGTCTCCGTCCACGCCTCTTCCGTCACGCCGTCTATCCGTCAACGCCTTCTCCGTCAAGTCTCCCATTCTCCCGTCAACGCTTCTGCGTCAACGATTCTGCGTCAGCGCCTCTCCGTCAACGTCTCTTCCGTCAACGCCTCCCCTGTCACCGCGTCCTCGTAAAGGGATTGCCTCCGAGTGTAAGAAGCATTCGACGAAGGATTGTCCGAGTGTAAGAACGGAGGGAGACATTGTCTCTCCGAGCAAACGCGTCGACCAAAGCGGCCAAGTGCACCACGCAGGACCATTGTCTCTCCGAGCAAACGCGTCGAACAACGCGGCCACGTGCAACAACGATTCGACGAAGTAGCCGGTTAACGGATCGGTCCGAGTGTAAGAAGGAGGAGAGATTGTCTCTCCGAGCACACGCGTCGACCACAGCGGCCAAGTGCAAGACCGATTGGACGAAGGATTGTCCGAATGTAAGAAGGAGGACACACTGTCTCTCCGAGCAAACGCGTCGACCAACGCGGCCGGGTAAACGGGATTGTCCGCGTAACATGGTTCTAGTGAAGGATTCGTGTGAGTGATCCAGAGAGGGGTATCAGAGAGCGGGGCAACAGCGAGACGTGTGGCGGAGGAAGGAACACACATATTATGTGGCAGGGCAGCACGAAGAAAGTAAGGCGACAACGACGGTAGCAATGACGGCAGCAGCATTGATGTTCTTGTTGTTACTGCGGTTTTTAGGTGTACGCACACAGAGCCAGTGTGAAGAGGGTATTTGTTGTTAAGGGGGGTATTTGTTGTTAAGGGCGGGTATTTGTTGTTAAGGGGGGTACTTGTTTCGCAAGTGGTGTTTGTTGTTAAGGAGAGTATTGTGGTTAAGGATTTTAGTGGGGGAGAATTATTCTGAGTATGTGATGACAGCAATTCCTCATAAAGGCATATAGGTCCGAAGGATAATGTTAAAATTAAGTGGACATTGAATAAGTATCGAGCAGAGTGGCATCCTATATAAAACTAAAATAGCGGCAGAGCCATGTGGGATTATTTGTTAGTACTATGGGACGATTTTATTGAGAAGGCGGATACAGCGGTAAAGGAGGATAAGAACTTTCAAGTATGTTCACATATATACGGGAGTTAGAGGGAGCAGGTGCATCATCATATGAGCATATTGTGCTGCTCTGGACTGTGTAGGGGACATACATATGTCCATATTGTAATATGCCGTGAGCCCATTAACAAGGAGAACTATATATGTAGAGCAGTACGCGCAGTTATGTGTGCAAATATGCAGTGCTGCAAAATACGCGGCATAAGTACAATTCACGGCAAAACATGTAATGTATATTATACTCATAGGAACTCTTTTGGCACCATGTACTGGAAGTGTGGGAGCACTTTAAAGAATATATGCAAAATGCGGAAGATGAAATAATAGAACTTTTCTGTGGTCCCGGAATGCAAGAACAGAGTGGTGGAATGTGGAACGAAGAAGACCAAGGTATATGCGGGTTGACACTTATAGCATTGTCCTTTAAATATGGACTTCACTTGGGCGCGTCCGGTGAGACCCCACAGAGTGCGAACACTGGGGCAGACGGCATAATACCATATATGAAATGTATTCTAGTAAATATATTTATGAAGAAAATAGTCGGGGAGAAATGTTTAGAAACTGCTGGTGGAAGGCAAGCATTTGAAGCTGCGCAGGCCTTGATGACTGCGCAATCCGCCACACCGCGCAATACTACATGTGAGGGCCAGGATTTACAGTCGGGTGACAGCAGCCAGAATCCGGACAATTGGACATTGCTGCACATAATGCGACGGTGGTTTGAGCGGAATAAAACGCGGTTAAGGGATGGGGATGTGGGAGTATTAGGCAGTGATTGCAAAGTACACGCACGTGGAAGAGCATCGGACGGGGAGGCCTTAAAAGAAGACATAAAGAAAGAAATTGGGGTACTGGGGAAGGATATAACAGACAAGGTGCAGCAAATATTGCCGGAGGTACGAACGTGTACAGATAACACATGTGTAAAAGGTATATTAGAGAAGAAGAACCAGGAGGAGGGGACATCACGTTCAAGGACTCCAGGAGTACAACAGGCTGCAGGGTCACAGGGGCCACAGCCAACAACACCATCATCATCAACATCACCGGGCACGTCAGAACCGGGTACTGCAGATAACGTAGCTGGGGCCGTGGCCACACACGCGGACGGCTCAAAACCAGCAGCTACAGCAACGGCGGAAACCACACCATCACTAAAGGAAACGTCAGGTAAGGACCGAGGGCAGAAAGCACTAATACGACCCGCTACGTACCGTATTGCTCAATATGGATACCACCACAACAACACAGCAAACGACTTCGCTGACGTTGAATGGCGGCGGCCACGACGGCGATAGCGGTAGCGTAACGTGGATTAGCGGCGAGCGCACCGTACAGCGGAGCGGTAGTGTAGACGAGGTCTGCGTGTGTGCGGTGGCGGACACGACTGCGGCGTCACCGTGGTTTAACAGCGGCGGTGAGACACCGGACGACGGATGGAGCGGGACGAGATGACGGCGACAACATAAGTGTACTGCTATCGTCCAGCCCAGTTCACCGAGTACGCAGTCGACCGAGTTCACCTCACCGTACGCGTGCGGTCGCCTGACCCAGTTCACCGCGTGCGCCCCCCTTTCTTCCTGTCTTTGTCCTCTTCTCACAACGTGCGCGCTCTCTAACACCGTCCCGCCCCTACGCTGCCGCTACCTGATCGAACCGTCCCGCCCCCTTCTTTCTGTACCACTTGTGTCGCTTTTTTTTTTTTATCATGTTTGTACCATCTTTCTGCCGTTCTCCTTTTTGCAGTGCCAGCACCTAAACCTGCGGCGACGAAGCCGGCAACATCAGATACTGCAGTAGGGAGGTCACAAACACCGGCATCCCCCGTATTACCAGCCAGACCACCACCACCTCCACCAGAACCGGCAGGAAAACAAGGGGAAAAGGCTGGAGCAGAGGCGCCGACGCCAAAAGGGCCTGGTATCGATGATCAGAAGGATAAAACAACAGGTAAGGAAACAAAGTCAACATGTTCCCCTACTTCAGAAACTACGGAGAGCACGCATGACGGGAATCGCGTAAGCGTACACGTTAGTTTCGGAAGCTCCTCTCCCTCATCCGAGTGTTCAGGTATAGGCTGACAGACCAAGAGTAGATCACTCTACAACAGTGAGTACAGCAGTGCCACAGCGCATGGAGGCAAAAAAAAAAAAAAGCAAAAAGAAACAACAAGTTCCGCAGCGAGAGGGAAACAGAACACGGAGAGAGAGAAACCAAACGTCGAATAAGAATGACCGGAGCAATGAGCGAGCGGCCGCGCCCGGTAGAGAGACGTAGCGACGTCGACAGACGGACACACACACACTGTGTGTGTGTGTTGTGTGTGTTGTGTGCGAGAGAGAGAGAGAGTCTTTTCCCGGGGTGGCAACGTCCCCGCCGTCCCCGCTGCCCTGCCCCCCGTGCCATGCCCCGTTCCCATCGCCTGCCTCCTCACCCGACCGGCGGTCAACCGTGAACGATGAGCGACCAACGATAACCATGCATCCACTTCAAACCTTCAGTTTTATCCACATTCTCCTGCTTGTTCCAACTTATAGGTAAAGACTCTACAGCAAATACAGGTACCCAGGACCCCCAGGTACCAGCAGAACCCGCACCGGGACCAGTACCACCATCAGAGGCGTCAGCAGTCACAGAACCACGCGCAACGGGCGGTGCAGGGGAAGTGCACACTACATCACACCCCGGTTTTCCGATTCCCGATAAGACATGTTTCTACGGCATTGCTCATTCAAACTGTACTAAAGTGCATGGTTCCTTCGTCCTTAATGATGATACGGACAACACAGGTACCGGGCGCGCGTCCCCCGGTACTGCCTCCTCTCCTAGTATTACTAACACTCAAAGTACCCGTTCTAATAAAAAAAGTGGCACTAATGATTTTGTATTAGGATCAGATCCTCCACAAGCAGCAGGTGACTTAGGAGGACATTACGCACCAGGCCCTCCACAGGTGCCCCATACTGTACACCCAAAGAATGTGCCTTCGAATGATGATGGTCCCGATGTACCCGACCTAACCGGCACGGTCCTCACCGCCACTACTCCCGTCCTCGCCTTCGTCACTTTGGTCATCGTCGCCCTTCTTGGTTATTCCCTTTGGAAAGTAAGCATGAACTCATACAAGCTCACACACAAGCATGCACAAATATAACCGAGTGGAAAAAGGACAAAAACAAGTGTCCTTCGTCCCGTCCATGTTTCCAAAAGGAACTATAACCAAATTTACACTATTTGGACTACTCGACACAGAAAAGACAAAAAACGAACAGAAAACGCACTACGGACGTATGTCCCTAAATGCCGGATACATTGTACATTGGACGCAACTGACGTTGGGCTTGTGCGACACAATATATTAGATATTTGGGTGTTCATGGGAAAAGGATATGGGTACGATGGTATGCAGTATTGGTATATATGTGCTCTTGTAATTATGACGGTTTATTTTTCCGGAAGAAAAAAAAAAAAAAAAATCCCTAAAACCTTAAGCCCCCTACAACTTCTTAGCCCGTGAACCGTAAACCCTTATTCTTGAATCCGCAACATGGAATGCAGCATACGGATTCTTGAACCTTACAATCCTGAAACAGTAAGCCTTCAACCCCGAACCTTAAATCCGTATGGCGCAACAACATAATCCAGAAAACTTAAAGTCCCCGCACCTTACAATCCTTCCACCTCGCAATCCCCGAGCCTTACAATCCCCGAAACTATAAACAGTAAGCCCTAACCACACAATTGCACTATACTTATCCTTTATTTATGTATCCCTTGTATTCTTAATTAAATCCACTCACATTTTGTCAAAAAAAAAAAGGGCCGTATATTTATACAACTGTGTACACTATATTTCCTCACATTTATTAATTGGCGACATATATTACGGGCTGAAAACGGCATAAGGATCAACCGTAGTGATAATGGCGACGACGACCACGACACATGTATAATTATTCGAATACGCGACAATAACAAACCCCCCAAAAACACTGATACAGTGTAACGTGGAACTCGCGGCTCAACACGTAAACAAACAAAAATGTTCGCAGTGCGTATATGTAAAAGGGGCATACCTATCTTGTGGTCACTATCTTCCTCACCATTATACCTGACTTAAAGAGAGTAAAGTCTTATTCCACATATAGCATTTTTCTCCCGTGAATATGCTCTTTGCTCTTATTATCCCGTTAAAACGGCGACATGGCGACCATGAGCCCGTGCTGAAATTGTGAAAAATATTTGACCCCTTTAGTCAACATTCATATCGTACAGCATGTTCCAACCATGGGTTCCTCCGTTTTGTTACGTACATCCTTCTTCCCTTATATTAGGGCGCACGTGATTTACTTATGCAAATCATATTTATATATTTAGGTAAGAATAGTAAACCTCGTACACAATTGATTCTATCAATATTTACTAGTGCCCAATAGGAAGAAATATTACGCGCTTAATCTATACACCTAGAAGTGGAAGAGAAAACAATTCTATAATTCATATATATATAAACAATATTTCGCCACTTGTAACATTTTCTAAAGGGAAAAGAAGAAACAGAATGATGTTGCTTGTGAAATTTTCTATATTTATTCTCGTCCTGTGTTTTCGGCAACTTGCTGACGGTGTATGATACGAACAACTGTATTTTGGGACAGTTACCACATTTATTGTGATAATATCTTAACGCATTCATAACAACTGTAAACCGTCCTACCATGTGCACGCTCTACATCCTTCTGTACATACACCATAACACGCTCATATATGCCCCTTTTTTATATTTACGTTAGGCGAGTACACTAGGTACATCATCGGGTAATGAAACAAGCCAAATTGACACAGAAGATGCAGCTACAGTTGGAACGACCACCGTATCGTTGAGTGGTGAACCAGATATAGGGAAACGGGGTCAGCGTAATTTTTACGACGCTTATGCGTCGGGTGCACCGAAGAACAGGGTGTTCGTGGACATGCTGAGAAAATTCAAGCCCAGGGACAAAGTAAACGAGCCACGACCTATAAAGAGCAAGCCACAGGGTGCAACAGCACAGAACAAGCTCAAGCAACTGTGTCAGAAATTGAAACAGTGTAAAATGGGGAGAAGAGCATGGATAAAGCTTATAGTAGTACTCTCAGTCCTGTATTCATTCTGTATGTCCTCCGCAGGACAAAGCACGCTTAATTACGCGTTAGTGGGGATCTTTACGTTAAATTTACAAGCTCTTAGTTACCTTGCCGGGCTTGCACCGTTCATAGTGTTTACTATTATATATTTGTGTGTGCTACTGAGATTCTGCCGATCCAAAAGAGCGAAATGTTTACTGGATAAAATTTGGAAGAAGAAGAAGAAGAAGGAGGAAGGTCCCACAGAAACGAAAAACAACGAAGGAAAAGTAAATAAGAAACCGGAGACACCCGGGAAGCAGAAGGTACCTGGAAAACCAGAAGTACCTAACAAGCAGGAAGCATCTGGGATATTAGAGGTACCTAAGAAACCTGAGACACCCGGGAAATCAGATGTACCTCAGAAACAGGAAACACCTAAGAAACCAGAAGTACCTAACAAGCATGAAGCATCTGGGATATTATCGGTACCTAAGAAACCTGAGACACCCAGGAAATCAGA